ATCCCCACCAAAGAAGTCTCCAAAGTAAGAATGTGCTTACTTGAAGACTATACTCTACCAGATAGGACCAACCTGACCACATCTGTTCTCTTTTGGACTTGTGCCTCACCACCACATACCTGTACTTCTATTTTAACCAAGCTCTCAATAAGCATTGCACGATGGGCTCTCCTATGTCTCCCATAGTGGCAAACTTATACATGGAAAAAGTGGAAATCAGAGCTCTACACTCGTACATTGGAACAAAACCCAGTAACTGTTTCAATTCAATTTCAACTCAGTTTATTTATATAGCGCCAAATTCACAACACTAGTCATCTCAGGGCACTTTACAGTTTAACCAAATAATACAGTCAAATTGATTCAAAGTTTTCTAAGGAAAACCAATTGATTGCATTGAGTCAAATACAATCCCTCACACTAAGCATGCTTGTAGCGACAGTGGAGAGGAAAAACTCCCTTTTAACAGGAAGAAACCTCCAGCAGAACCAGGCTCAGTGTGAGCGGCCATCTGCTGAGGCCGACTGGGGTTCAAGGGGACAGAAGCAGAGACACAAAAAGCAGCTGTAAAAGGCAACTGCTCAGGGTAGGACTCCGCTGTTCACCTACACCAACATCCATAATCTGACCAAGGAAGAAAGATGGTTTAAAGAGGGGTTTGACTTTTTAAAGCCAAACAAACCATTGGTATCTGTGTTTTTGGTTCACTTGATTCTCCCGGACAACAGAGGTTTGGTGAACCTGGAGCTCCTGTTTGAATGATGAGGCTGGGGCTACAGCCAGGGAGGAGATGGTGGGGAGACACTACAGCGGAAAGAGGCTAAAGCTGACTGGGGATAGCTATAGACAGTTGGAAGATCGGATAAGCCTGCCAGGCTGCAGCTAGTCAGAGCTAACCTATAGACTAACAGCCTGAGATGTAAGGAGTACCGCAGGGGATCAGCCAGCTTGCCGGGCAAACAACCCCGGAGCATGGGAGAGAAGACATCAGCTGGTCGATGGTCAAAACTGTCCTTCTAGGACTTATTAAAAAGCCCTCCCTACTTCATCCTTTAGCAGCAATAAAAGGGCATAGCATTGTCCTATGGTTTTGGGATTAACCCACTTATCACTCTAGAAATAGTCAGCTGGGTTTCATAATCATTTTTTAAGACTATTCACACCTTATAAAGGAAAGGATAGTTACAAAAGCTTAATTTAATCTCCTTTTTACAATGTCAGGTTTAATGGCTGTTTTTATTTATTTGTTCTTTTCTAAAGCTTTGTCCCTTCTCTTACGCTGGAAAAAATCCAAATCTAGATCAGTAATTTTTTCTCAAAATGCCAATGGAACAAGACAATTTACCTTGATAATAATTGCATTGTCTTATTTCAAGTGCATTTTATATAAATATCTTATTTTAAGAGTAAAAACACTAAATCCTTGGCAGATTATCTCATTCAAATAGTCAAATTAAGGGTAAATACACTTAATTTAAACATTTTTGTACTTATTTCTTGATCGTTTTTCCAGTGTATGTTTGCATGTATCTTATGTGTGTGCATATGTATTTACACAGTCTGCATACCAATACATTAACTATGCAGGAAGGGGTGTCCCATTTCCTAGGTAAGATTGCAAAGCCCTAACTGTTGTGGCTTCATTTCCAGGGTGAGAGATAGTGGTTGAAAGTAAGGAAACTATTGGAATTGGGCCTAAATTAGGCTATTACAATAACAAAATTTGGAATTAGTGTTATAAAGGGACAGAGATTCCATCCTGTGTTGTTTTTTTTACACTAAACTGTAGAACCTGCCCTGGTTTCAGTGAGTTTGGGCGAATTGGAAACTGTTCTTAGATGACAGAAGGTGGGAGGTCTTTTGCTTCAAGAATCTGTATTCAGAAATAGTATTCTGCAACTGTTGTCTGTCTTACTCTGATCTTAGACATCAGCAAGTTATTTTCTCCTTAGGATCATCCTCTGTAAGTTTGAGTTATACTTAGAGATCATCAGTAACTGAAATATTTAAACCAGCCCCTCTATCCCTATGTCTGACTGCTCTCATTTCAAGTATAATTATAAAGTATGTATATTTTCTATTTGAATAAAAATAAATTTAAATCTGTTTTTTCCTCATCCTGACCACATCCACGAGGAGTCATTGCCCAGAAGTTAGACTTTTTCATGTTGAGTGTGATTAAAAATTGGAGAAGAATCCAGAGTGTGAGGGTGGCTTGTTTTCTGTTTTGTTTTGTTTTCTTTCCATGTGGGCTTTTTGTTTAGATCGGAAAAGTTCACAATGACTCCTCTTCACTAGAGAGCACTCTCGACATTGCACAATTTTGGTTCTCCTCCTGGACTAACTTATTATTTAGGAGGTCACTAACTTAAGCCCACCTTGCTTTCATCACTCCTAACTTTATTCCAGCATAAGGGCAGATTCCAAAAAAGGTCAAGATCTCGCCTGCAGAGCAGTCTGTAAGTGCGGCTGCTTGTGTATCTTTTTATCTGTTGCTTAAGAGACCAAATAACCAGCCACGGCAAACTGCTAATGTCACTAAGGCTGCATCCATATAAACATGGATACACCCAGAAACCGTTTTAAGAAAAAATGAGGTCTATTTATGTTTTTCTCCTAAAAATTTTCTTTAAAATCATAAAGACAATTTTTTCGTGTTATTTGCATCAACAAGCAACTGAACAGATGGTCTTACAAGGTCATTTCTGAGTGTATGTTCCAATAGGAAATATGTTTCACCTATTTTATTCACAAGAAATTATCTTTGTCATTTCTCATATTTGTACAGATATTTTTTCCAAAATGTATTTTCTCCCATTTACCCTTAAAAGCTGCTCAAAAAGAAAAAGAAAAAAACTCATTTAATGTTATGAAAATACACGCATCTTCATCTTTTTTCGTGGAAGACATAAAAGAACACTAGACTCTTCAATTATGTCATTTGCTGGGAACATTTTAGCACATTTTCTGCCAAAGTTACAGAAATTCTGTTCTTCATTAATTTGGATCTTTGCAGAGAATATCATAAAACAAATCTTTCACTTTTTTGATCCACAGTTCTCCTGATGGAGCAGATTGCAAAATGCAAACGTCATCAGGGACTTATCCATCCATCCCTTTATACTGGCTTGTCTGTCTGGTCTGTAGGGTTGCTGTTATCTCAACTGGTCATTGGGTAGGAAACAGTCTACAAGTAGATGAAGTCTGGGAAAACCCACCAAAGCAGATAAAGAACATAAAGAACCCATGAAGAAAGACATCAGACTTTGACCTGATCCCAGGATTTTTTTTCTGAAGGCAAACAGTGCTCAGGAATTTAGTGACCCTTCATCCAGACCTGAATCTGATCCTTGGGATTGGCTAATGACTTGCCCAGTTAACCTAGTTGTTGAGTATTGCTGCAAGTTTGCCTCAAACCCTTTCTTGATTTAATGCTACCAAGCCAGCATTTATTTCCTGCTACTGCCTGTTAAAGTATATTTAACACAATCTGTAGATACCAATGATCATGTTGGAAGCATCTGCCTAGTAAATTTCTAGCTCATACTGTACTGTATATATATTAGGGGTGGAACGGTTCACAAAATCAACGGTTCGGTTCGATTCACGGTTTCGTGGTCATGGTTTTCAGTTCGTTCGATTCGGTATATATTGATTGTTACACCGAAATCCCATAAAAATTTATGAAATTAATGAAAAAATCCCCCAAAAAATAATGGATTGTAATTATTTTAAATGATCCGCGGAAACCCTGGATCATTTCCGTATGTTTTGCTGCTTTGAATTTAATCATCTGGCGCATGCTCTCTAACATCTCCAAGGGACTCAGAGAGGAGCGGACGGGAGCCACAGTGGGGGCTGTAGGCTTTGCTTTGAGCAGCCGGTCTGGAGCGCAAATGAGGGATTTCGGGGTTAGCTTGACATGTTGGTCGTGTTGCTGTTAGCATAAACAAAACGTGTTGCACAATGCTTGCACACTGTTGCACTTTTATCCACAACTTTCTCTCCGCCATCATCGTAGGTCACTCTAAATGCAAAGTGGTCCCATACAGCAGACCTATAAAGTGCTGCTGGCGCGTCTTCCAACTCCTGTTCTTTCCCACTCGCCATTCCGACACAATTCTCCACAACAACTGATTTTTTTTCCCTGCTACACCCGGCTACGCTGCTTCGCTTCTTCTTGTTTACTACTGGTGGTTGGCTTTGGTCGCAGTACCGCCACCTTCTGCTCTGGAGTGTAAACGCTTCGCCTATGAGAAAAAGGAGCAGCGCATGAACTGAACGAAACACGCGCGAACCGAACCGAGACAGTCGAACTGAACGGTTCAGATGGTTTTCATAAATCGTCCCATCCCTAATATATATATTTAATTGTTAATCCTTGGAACAGTATTTCCAAAAAAAGTTACAAGCCACTGGAAGCTTTTTTCATTCAAAATGTCTGAGTTAGTGTCGAGTTCCAAGCTTTATAGAGTAGCCCAACAAAGCCTTGTTTTGGCTTAGAAAACATGTGAACTGAACCCGAAGAACAGGTCCACCCCTTTGTAATGGGGAGTCATTGAGGTCTTTGTTAGTCTGCAACACCTGATACTGGCCTATGCAAATGAAAGCAGGAGTTAGTACTGTAGGGTCATTGTTGGCCTGGCTGACCTAGGCGAGATGTCTTAGTCTTGCAGGATAGCGGGAAGGAATCAACTCTATCGCTGCATTGTAGGGTTTTGAAAGCTGAAACCTGAGTCCACCCCTCTGTTTAAACTTGTTTTTTCTCTTAGAGAAAAACCAAAACCCACTGGAAACAAAGTCCAGTGGTTTTTTGGAATGACTATGACCTGGATGACTGAAAATCTTCACAAGCCTTTGGAACAGTAATGTTAAAGTATTATTGCAGGAATTGTTCTTACAGTGTTTAACTCAAAAGGATTCAGAGAATGAGCAGCAATTATCAAAACACTGATGGTTTCTACCCATCTGCAACCCAGCTTTTAAAAAAACTCAACAGATTAGGATGGTAATTGGCACATTTGCTTTATTTCGAAAACAGACATTGAAACCATTTTTTATTTCATTTTTTTTCATTCTTTTTTTCACAAGTTTGTACTTTCAGATAAGGTTGAAACTGGACATGGTACTCACTGGAACATAGGAAAAGAATTTCGTATGTTGGATTTTCCTTTTTCAGATTTTTTTCTCTTTTTTTCAGTAACATCAGTGCAATTCTCCAATTCATAGAAACTGTCATAACAACACCAAAGACATCAAAAAGAAGCCGCCACACTTCTTGTTTTTGTGGCTGCGAAGAAGTTCCTCTCGAAGGGAGAGTTCCCATCATGCAACTTGTTCCATGGTTCATGCTACTGTTCTCACACTTGCTTGGCATATATATATATATCTATATATATAGATATATATATATATGGGCCAAACACATCAATACTATAGCTATTTTTTATTTATTATAGGATTTAAAAGGTCCAGAAGGTTCTATAAATGTCACTTACCAGAGTTTGTAAAAGTGATGTAAACCAAGCTTGAGTTCCTCAAGCTGAATAGAAAGAGTAGTAATTCTATTGACTAATTTTTGGACTTTGAATAAAACAGGCCAACTGAAAATCTCACACATTTAGATATACATTCGCATATTTACCTGGCTTTTTGTTGTGTTTTCAATACACGTGTGCAGTGCTGAAAACCGGAGTTGCATTTTAAAACTAGCCTATTTTTGTGCATGCATTTGCAAAACTGAGTTTTGTTTCAGCGACGTGGTTTTTACAAAAAGTGCATGACAATGCAAACGAATGGTGGTGCATTGGCAATGCGTTTTTAAATGTGTGAGCGGTCCAGTTAGAAGCTGTCGATCCAGTGATGTTTCACTCACATTAGGAAGTGAAGACACTGATGCTTCCCGCTTTTGCATCACCATCATCATCAAGGTAATAATCATGTTATTATTACAGACATCATCATCACCATCACAATATTAGCTTGAGCCAGAAAACTTCAAGCTGGAAACTCCCCCAACATGAGAAAATCATTGCCACACAAAAAATGACAAACAAATAGAAACAGACTGCCCTTGACGTTGGGAAGGTAAAGAGCAACCTTTTTAGATTTTTGTTTTTGTGTTACTCAACATTTTCTCTTAATTCTGATTTCCAGTGGTTAAGGCTTTGCCTTTAGTCTTCCTTGGACTCGGATGGCTCCGCAGCCCCATCTGGGTTGGTTTTCTCCTCCGCTTTTGACTCCTCTGCAGCATCTGTGTAGAAGTGAAGGAAGTAGAGTGATTGGATGGAGAGCAAAGACAAAGAATAGAAAAGGAAAATAAGGCAGAAATTTGAACATTTTTACAAATTTTATCAGATTGGACTAAAAGAAAACGTCTAAATGAGTCTTGTTAGAGGCTAAAAAGTGCTTCAAATAACAACTATGACTTTAAAATTACCCTTTTCTGAATTTGTGGCCTTACATCGTTTAAAACCTTCCCCTACAAAGGGTTGTTAATAAATAATAAAGGATAAGAGTGCTCCTAACGGACCCATGGAGCCCTCGAGCTGACATGACAATGCTAACAGCAGCATCTTGGCCTGCCACATCTGATTGTGTGTGATGCCTGCAGGGGGATTGTGCTACAATAACAAAACAGAAGCGTCTCCAGCTGAAAAGGAATCCTTGATGCATCAAAAAAGCATTTTTAAAATAGGTTCTAGGCTAGAGGTGGACATTGTTCTGATGCTTTATTTCAAATTCTGCCTATTTAAATAGTGGTTCTGGAAGTAGCATCTCTAAAACAGTGAGAAAATAAAATCTTACCAGCCAAGGCCGTATTAATAAGTAAATCTACTCCAGTTTCAGTTGTGCCAGACAAAGCCTATTAGTGAGGTGCTCTTTGTATAGTGATATCACAGCCAGATGATCTCATACGTTTTTATTATAAAAAGCAGATGACATCATGGCAGTGGGGTGATGAAGTGCCTAATGTGTGTGTGAGTGTGTGTGTGAAGGAAAGTGGGGCAATCATATGGCTGCTGTAATGTGTGACTAAGACAGTGTGAGTCATTGCTGATCTTCCAGGTAAGAGTCAATTAGCTTTTTAGCCAGCATGACAGATTCAAGGACGTCATTATCCAGTCGCTGAAATTGTGCGAAGATAATAAAATTTCATGCAATTCCTTGAACCAACAGTCATGGTCTTCACTAGCCTCGTGAGACCATCCTGATCTCGCAAGCTTTCAAGGTTTCACTCGCAGATCAGTCTGGAGACTCTCCGTTAAAGAAAATTTGGAGCTGTTCACCAAACGAACGTCCAATCAGCGTTGGCATTGAGGCGGGTTGAGGTGTGACGCAACGAGAAGCGCGACAGTTCAGTCTAAAGAACATGGCGGCTTCAGCCGATGAAACTAGCGTTAGCGTGGCTATCGAACAAGTTTTATCGGAATTACAGAGCATTTCTTCACTGAAAGAAGAGCAAAACACTGCTCTGGAGGCTTTTCTCAGAGGAAAAGATGTTTTTGCTCTTCTCCCGACTGGGGAGTAGCAAGAGTAGCCTGGCTTGTGGTTGTGTTTTCGTCGTCGCTCTGTTAGTACGTCATATGCTTTGTTGATCTGATTGGTTTATTTGGCCCGTCTATCACCAACATAGGCCAATCAGCTAACCAGTATTTTCGCCCCTTCCCAAAATTACTTCAACAGAAGGTTTTTAGATGGATATGCGGAGCAAATCCATCTGGCGGAGTCAGGTTAGGTCTTCCCTGCTCTTGCACTGGTTCCAGATAATGCACGGCAGAATTGGAACCAAATGAGAACTGATGTAGAATGCAGAGGTATGTTTGAACTAGTGTTGCACCGATGCCATTTTTTGGCCCCGATACCTATACCTGGCTGTGCAGTATTGGTCGATACCAATACCATCTGTTTGAAATTGATGTGTGTGTGTATATATGAAGAACTCCATCCTACTTGGATGTAAAATAATTGCCATCATGGCTTTGTCAAGCTGCTGCCTACCTTTGTAAAGCAGGAAAAAGACTAATACAAAGTGAATCCAGTAGAATTTTTTATTGCCTACCTTGAATGGGTGACAATAGTTGAATAAATTTTAGCTCTCAAATGGTATCGGTGCCCTATTTGTCGGTACTCGCCGACACTACCGTTTTAGTGCTGCTTCGGGGTCCCGCCCGATACTGGTATCAGTGCAACACTAGTTTGAATAAAACAAGCAATGTTCAATGGATTCATTAGGATATGAAAGAACATAAACCCACATGTTGCATCTCAATTTAACTAATCTGACCATTTGTTTTCTTTCCTTCATGGTGGATATCTACCTGCCATCAACAGTGCTTTTATACAGAGAGCACACTGATGTAACCCACTATGCAGATGACATCTGACTGTTTGAAGTGGCTCCTTTTTTTGTAGGTGGTGCTTTCCAAAGAATGTGCACAGTTTGTATTTAGGATGAGTTTTTTCTGTTTCTTTTGACTGTTCCCTGTTTTCGCAATCATGTACAGATAAATCACACTCAGCTGGTTAGAAAACAATTATCATTTCTATGCAGTATCTCATTAACCGACATCAAAAGTCATTGAAGGCAAACACAGAAAAACTAAAATAAAACCTGCAATAACTCATTTGCATTTAACGATATCTGGTGCATTAATGAATCCAGATCCCTAACATGGTAAAATTTTCTTAAATAAATATCAATTATCGTTTAAGCCAAAAATCTTAATAATGAAGCTACTGTCTGAGGTAAATATATTTTAGTTCTGAACTGTTGTCCACTTCATTTTTGCAGTTAATTTAAGAATATTCTAATGGCTTTTATCAATGTTCCAAGTAATAATGAATAATAAATGATTCAATAAAGAACACTGCGATGCTACAAAAGTCAATTTTGAATTAAATTAGTGCGACACCCTGCATAATACACGACTCTGTCAGATCTTAGTTGGTGGCGCTCTTCACTATATATTATTGATCCATATCTAATAGAACCATTTAGTAATAGCTATTAATTAACTCTAAATCAGTAGAGTGAGTGCAGAAGGTTTTTGTTCGCTCTGGCAATTTAATTAGCAGTTCTTGGTGAGGTAGTACTTGTTTACTCCATGACTCCCCAGTGCTGACCGTTACCTGTAAGGGATCATTAATCATTCATTTAAATCAGAGCACCTGTTATGGCTGCTCTTCTCCACGCAGGGCTAGCTATCCCCATTGAGGTGGTAACTATGACAACAGGGAGACAGGTGACCTAGTTTCTTTGTAGTTCTCCAGTTGATGTGTCTGTGCGTTTCACCACTTCACACCCCCATCAACTTTGCACACATAGCACACTCTACTACCCACCTGTCTGACCCGGACTGAGTGTCCTTGGACCAGAAATATCGGTTCATGTAAAGAGCGTGCTGACGGAGGCAGCTGCATGACTTTCAGCTCCTCGTGGATCAGGTCTGGTTATAAAAAATCTAGGTTTCCTCACTTACTATTGTTGTAAACTCTAAAAAGAAAATAAAAACTGTAACATGTTCATGAAAGCTGATTGATTGAATAGATTTAATGTTCTCAAATTTAAACAACAAGCAATCTCTGCTTCCTAATCACTACACTGATTACCCTGATTATTCATGATGCGATCGTATCGCTTTATAATGGAGTTTCCATGCAGCGAGGGCTGTGATACGAGGCTGCCTAAAGAAATATTGAGCTGCATTTCTGTGTTAAACAGTAAATGGTGGAGGCCTGCCAAAGACCTTTGCATCGCAAAGACTTAACAAGCATTTATGTCCTGAGGTGTCTGCCAAGCAGCCTATGTGAAAGCCCAGCAATTCTTCTTTATTAGATTTTTACACCCGGTAATTACTTCTATATTGTTGAAAGGGACTGGAAGTTAAATTTGTCTCTGAACTGAGTCCCATCCCAAACGTATGCACAGAAATGTCTCCAATTAGACGGCTTGAATAGTTTCCCATCCAAACAGCTCTGCTTGGATCTGCATACCTTTTTTATCATTTGTTTGGTTAGGCTCCTCCTTTTCAGCTGTCGGACTGACAGCAGCAGGCACATCGGCTTTTCTGGCCTCCTCCTTCTTCTCTTCACTCTTCTCCTCCTCTTTCTTCTCCTCAGCCGTGGCTGTGGTGGGACTCTTGGCTGTTGCTGCCGGAGCCTCCACCTCTTTGGGCTTCTCCTCGGCCTTCGGCTCCTCTTTCTGAGGTTCAGAGGGGGCTGTGGGAGAGGCAGCAGCGGGAGCTGCCGCCACGGGAGACGTTGCTGTGCCTGCAGGAGAGTTAGCAGGCTTGTCTGCTCCTGGGGTTTTGGCCTGGTTTGTCTCATCCCCCTCCTTCTTGGCCTCCTCCCCTGCATTTTCCTCCTGCTTAGTAGGTGCATCTTCTCCCTCCACTTTCTTTGTCTCCTCACCATCTACTCCCTCTTCTGCAGCTGGACTGTCTCCTTCCTTCTCTTCTTCTTCTCCATCTTTCATCTTTTTCCGAGTTATGTGTCCACGGAAGCTCGCCTGTATTTTGGTGGCAGCCTTGTGGGCCTTGTCCTCGGGCTTGTTCGGGGTGCCATCCTGTTCAATCTTCTGGTCTGCATCCTCATTCTTCTCCACCTGGGAGGCAATACACAGTATTACACGTTAACAGCTGGTCTGAACTAAAAATCCACTTTTGGATATTCTGGCTTTGTTCGTTACACTTAACCACAATGTAATGGACTGAGAAGTCAGAAAAAAGTTCCTAAAAAACATCTTTAACCATCCGTTACTGACTTTTTTTAGTATAATTCTGATAAAATGCAAACATTTTACAACATTTAACATCTTTTTCAGCGGAAAGTAGTAGCTTGTTCCCTTAACTATTGTTCGATACATGGCAAAAAGCTTCCAATTTTCAATTAAAATCTTCAAAAATCCTCACAAAAATGCTCTTAAAGAGAAAGTCAGGCTGATTTCAATATAAGCACTCTAACAAGTTGGTTAAAGATGTTTTTACTCTACTGTACAACATGTATTTGAAACCATGACTAAGGAACTGAAGGCTGGAAAAGTTGTCAGGAAATGTTTAGGTTCAGGAAGCATACGATGAGATGAGGAAAACGAGTAAGGAGAAGGATAGCGGAGTGTAACATTAACCAGGATTGAATGATTTTACCTTAGGCAACAGGATCCAAAGCTGTCCATCAAATAGGGGGGTGTGTTATGACTCATATAAATCTAATAAAAAGAAATCAAATCAAATAAAAAGCATGAACGATGAGTACTGAAAGTGACAAAGAAAATAAATCACCACATTCAAAATGAATAGAGACATAAATCAATGTGAAATATTCACAAGTTGATAATCAATTCCCCGAAAGCAATACGCATGTTAAATTAATGTGTATGAACATAATCAAGTAGCAGAACTTTCCAGCAGTAAAGAGGCTGTAATCATTTATTTATGCTTAGTGATAGAGAGGTGAAGGGGAAAACAAGCAGCAGGAAAATGGTTTGGGACGGCTCCTTCTTCCTGCTCGAAATCATCGCAGAAAAAAAAAAAAGAAAGAGAAATCATCACAGCAGCCAGTAAATGGCATCAGGAAGAATAGGTCTGTAATTTAGTAATAGAAGATTTTTTTTTTTTTGTAAATATAAGGATGAATCATATGTGAATGTGTATAGAGACTTAACTGTCTCCATATGATGAAATAGACTCGCTGGGACTTAAGGCAAGACAAACGGCTAAGAGTATTTATTGTGGTGGGTAGACGGAGGCAGATATTGTCTCTTTATAATGGTGCTGAAACACACTGAGCTCAAATGGAGATCCTCGCCACAGCATCCATTTGTGCTGAGTGCAGTTTCTGCTAATGATTCCCTGAAAACTGTAAAAAAAAAAAAAGAATCTCAATCCTCTGTGTACGCTCGCTGCTTCCCGTCTAAACGAGCTTCCTGCACGAGAATCTCCTCAGCATTCACCGCCATACCCCTCCCAGCCATCAAAGGTTACCTAGACAACCAGAGTGCTAACTCATCACGGGCCTGCTTGATGGCTGGCGCTACGAAATACTGCATGTCACCCTTACTGACAGCATCTGACCCCTCGGGGGACTGGGGTGATGGGAGATAATAAATTAAGAAAGAGCATTTTGGAATAAGAGGGGGTTGCAATGCAGCTAAAGGGCGTGGCAGGAGGAAAGGTGTGGATGTGTAAGAATTGGTAGTCGATGTAAATAGGCAGCAGGATGATGAAGATATCTGAGTGAAAATTGTGGCATCACAACTGCTACCGTTAGTGTCACCGTCTCTGATGGAGGGTTTTAATTGGAAAGCTGTCTGCCCAGGGACCCACAGCAGTGCGGCGTGATTAACTGTCAGACCCCGGGGCCCCTAAACCAACACTTCCTCCTGAGGGTCAGTGTGTCAGTGCAATACGGTGCAGCAGTGAACCTCCTTCACCCTTCCTCCCATTGGGTCAGATAATAAATCCTACCTCAGGCCTCGCTCTGCTTCACACCAACCAGGCCTCCTAAATTATTTTTGGTCTGATGAAATTTTAAAACAAGAAAAAAAGCCCCGGCTGAGAAAGGAATCAATATCCTAACTCAGCTCTGCAAATAGAGTGATTTAAAGCGGAGGCTAAGAGCTGACCACAGAGGGGCCTTGACATAAACAGAATTGGTAGAAATTTGTACAAATACAACTTAGTTGAGAAATTAATCTTTAAAGAATCTTCATTAGTTTGCATGAGGTGGCTGCTCTCAAAGAATTCAGGGATTATTTACACAGGAAATGGAAGCTAGACGTGGTGCGCTACCAATAATCTTCCTGTGTTAAGAGTTTCAGTTAGACAAAAAATAATGATAGAAATGTAAAGCAGCGCCAAAAAATAAATTAGAAAATATTTCAAATAGTTTCCAGTTAAAAGTATATTTTCCAATAAATTTTTTTGAGAAAGTACATAAGTTTAAGAAAGTAGCAGTCTTTTTTAAACCACATAAAAAAATTGCGTTAAAGTTAGTGTTGCGCAAATGCAATTCTTTGGCCCCAATACCTGATACCTGGCTATGCAGTATCAGCCCATACTGATACCATCTGTTTGAAATTGACGTGTGTTTGCAGATATGAAGAACTGCATATTACTTGGCTGTAAAATAATTGCCATCATGGCTTTGTTTAGCTGCTGCCTACCTTTGTGAAAAAGGCTAAAACAAAGTGCATCCAGTAGAACTTCTTAATTGCCGACCTGGAATGGGTGACAATGGTTGAATAAAGTTTTGCCTCACAAAATGGTATCGGTGCCCTAATTGTTGGTACTCGCCGATACCAATGCCACCATTTTAGTGTAGTGTTGGGGCCCTGTCCGACACTGGTATCGGTATCGGTGCAACACTAGTTAAAGTAACTAAATACTGTTAAGTAAATGCCAAAAATGGTTGCATTATTTTTTTCAGTGTTGAAACTTAAGATGGGAAAAGTTCAAACCTCTAGGACTAGCTGTTAGCTTTAGCCTTCAGAATTAACCAGTATGAATCCATGCTGACAAGAGGAAAATAACTGCCTAGTTATTGAGATGTTCAACATTCTGGTCCAGGAGGTACTTCCAGAGGATGGTGAGATGTTGTTTGCATCCTCCTGCTGGACATGAAACATTTGCTGGCTCGCTTTTAAGTGTTATGGCAACTTAAGAATGATTCCTTTCATTAGGATTGACAGCAAGGAGACAAAGCTTCACCGCCCTGCCTTCTCCTCTTAGTAATACTCAGTCCTCCGGAGACTTGTTTAGCTTTTATTGGCCTGATCTCATGAGAGCTTGCAATTGCCAAAAAAACTTGACCTGAGCACTTAACTCTAAACCAAATTACTTACTGGCTGTGTTCAGTGAGTCAGGCAGGCAGAGGAAGCGATTGATGAGGGTGTTTGGGAATATAAAGAGGGTTGAGCTGAGGTATGACATCACTGCTGGAACAGAAGCAATGTCATTTACTTTCAGGATGAGTGGATATGTAATAAGATACCAGCATATTGCTGAGTGATCTCATATCAATGTATGAGGGTGGGAAGCGACATCACCTTCACATCATTGGTTTAATCAACAGCTTTTGTCTGTGGGACACCCTTCAAAGCTGCTGCGCTGTCATCTTCTCCTGTTGGATTCTAGATTCGATGGAATATATAAGCTTTGCGGTGGTTACCGCTCCAATTTTCAGGCTGCAATGTACGGAAAATCCCATTTTGTCTGAACAGAAAAATCATTGCAAATCCTTTGCAAGGCTTTTAAAGTGTTGTTAATTGGGCCCATAGGAATCCTCTTGTGGGCACTCTTCTGCTCTGTCCCTTTGCAGCGGTCGGTTTCATTCATATATACAGCAACACTTCCCTCAGGTGCCGCACCACAGATTAAACAAAGCCCGGACATTTCCTTCTTCAACATATTTGCATTGTCCTGCTGATCAAATTAATTAATACAAATGAACTAACAGAGCTTCCTCTCTCATGCACGCTCACTTTGGTTGTCATAGATACAGTGTAAGAACCTAGAAAAAGGGAAATGTTTGACGTTTGAAGGCAGAAAGCGTCAGCTAAGATTGCAATTAAAAGGCCTTGATGTGCAGTTTTATAGTAGTAATTGCAGACTGCCCACACAGGACCAACCCCTGTCCTCTGTCTGGTCTGTGAAGGTAATAAATAACTGAATGTGTCTATCAGAGCCTTCCTCAGCGGCTGCAGTACGCCTCTGTCCTTTGCTGGCCACCGTCTGCTGGAGAACCACGCCCCAAGCAGCCAATGGCACTACCGACACACTCTAACAATTTGCCACCTTTCCGCTGCCTCCCCAAGAATGCCATTAGGGACTGGTTTCAGGAAGGGGAGGAGGGGGCAGGGCAGAAATTGGTGAGGATGATGGAGCCTGAACAACCATAGAGCAACAGGGCAGACTGATACACACACAAGGAAGATTATAGACCTAGATGACGTTCTTTACATGAATATTGGACTGACTTACATCAAGTACAGTTAGGAAGTTATTAGGAGTGTTTTTTGCCTGTTGTGAAGCAATGATTGGGAAACTATTCAGTCTCAAAGCCAACAGGTGCAGAGGTTAAATAACTTTTACAAAGCCGACTTCAGAATAACTGCGGCAAATCCATGCAATTTAAAACCCATGATGTAGATATAAAAAAAAAAAGCAAAATGGAAATAATTCAGATCATACTGACTTCTTAAACTTCTGTTACACATGTGATCTGAGCCTCATAGCAGTGTCTTTCTCTGAAAACCTCCACATGATGTGAATCTCTATCTGCACGTCTCTGCGAAGCATCCAGACACCAAAGAGCAGAGGCTGCAGTCTGCAACTGCCGAGCATCTCTTCCTCTTTCTCTTGTCTTTCACTCTTCTTCTCGGTGAGCAAACTGCCACCCACTCATGCTCCCTCTCCGTCTCTCTCTTAGTCTCGCGCGCACACACGGGCACAGTGGAGAACCACACCCTTTTAACCGGCTGTCTCCTGCAGAAGAGGAGAGAGAGGGAGGAGGGGGGGAGGCTCAGCTCAGGTGGTGGCTGCCACAATCACCCGTTCACCGTCTCTGTCTGTCTCTTCCTTTGACGATGAATTCATGAGGACGTATCGTTTCTTCATCTTTTTTTTTTTCTTTATTTCCACACCTGACCCAGGAAAGGATGCTTTGCATCAACCACTAACATCATATGCTATCCTCATTACATCCTCCGGAGCAGCCTTTAATTAAATTACACCAGCCCTCTGCCTGAACAAAGGCTCTGCAATCAGCGGTGATCTCATAGGGGGTCGGGGATAAGGATGGAGAGAGATGCTGGAGGAGGAAGAGGGCTGGACATGAGAGGTGGGGGCTGGTTGGTGGGGGTGCAGGGACATTAGACTCATGCTTGGAGTTAGAGAGCTTTAACAGCAAAAAGGAAGCAAGAATTCTTCTTTTTAAACGATAGAAGAGGGTTTTCAATTTGATGTGTAATACAAAATGATAGGTGTCAAAATAGAATAGAAAATTTGTGCAAAAGATTGACAGATGGAGTTTGAGTAGAAGCAGCAAATGTGAGAAACAATAACTTCAGCTTCACAAGTGAGAAGGAGCTGATTATTGACTTCAGTTTTGGAAGAACCTGGATGCAAAAATCAGACTGGAAAAATGTGCTTTAAAACGGATACAGGCAGAATTTGGGACAGCATGGGACTTCTAAAGTAGATGCTAACAGCCCCTCCTCTACACTGGGAATGTGTGGCAGCAGCACTTAGGGCTCCACAAAGACTGGAGTCCAGTACTGCTGTGCTAAAAAGCAGAAAACCATGCTCTTTGCTCGCCCATCCATGACGACCACAGAACGTCTCTAGATTCATTTACTCTTAGAGGCGGGAAGAGGAGGATAAGTGCTTAGTGCCTGGGAGGATATCCCTCCCCGGCAGTGAGGTGTGCAGCCTCACCCACATGGCTGCAGTGTGCAGCAGCATGCCGGCTTTTTATTCCCTCACGCTTCCTCCCCCCACTTTGATCTTACTCACCTTTGCGATCGCTCACCTGCTCCACTTATCGTCTCCTTCCAGCTGCAGCAATCACTATCGTTCCTCTTCAATCTCTGTTTTTAATCACATTTGCAGCATCCCTGCCTCACCCTACTATCCAGCATGTCTTCCTGTTTAATTGTCTTTTTGCATTTCCTCTTGCATCTTTAGCCCAGATCCCTTCCACGTGGAGCAGCCATGCTCCCAACCTGCCTACATCTCTCCGTGCATCCTCATGCATGCTTTAAGCAGCCTCAGCTCTATCACTCTCTCTCCTCCGGACCTTGCCAGAGCTAATATGACTCATGTGAGCTGACATTTAAGAAGCAATCAAGGGCCATCAAAATCCAGCATGTTATGAGTCTGATAAAAATCCCAATCCATCTGAGGTAGCAGCATGAACATCTTTGAGATCACCTAGAAAATTACCATAATGAATGCTACCTTTTTTTTCTTTCCCTTTATTCTCCACCACTAAGAATGGAATCTGGTTTAGTGAAGCACCCTTAAAAACCCTTTAAACAAGCACTCTCTTTACACCACCCCATCCACTTGTAAAAAGCTGGAGGGCTCTGATAATCCATTTATACTCATTTATTCCCATTGTATTCCCAGGAGGCCACTGACATGATGGTGCCGGCTAACTCAATCCGTACCCCACCCATTTTCCTCCTCGCTGTGGAAATTTTCTTTCCTCTGTCCCCAACTACTGCTCAAGGTAACCCAATTTCAAAAGACTCCAACACCCCTGATTTAAAGCATCTATAGATAGATCTCAATAGGTAAGTTTAAATCATATGAAATGTCATTAAAAGATGATGGATTTGGAGTTTAAGAAAGTTTTTTGCAGCTTTTTCGATTATTAACAAACTGCTTTTCAATTATGTTGAACTTTTTTTTTTTCTCCCAGTGCTTAATCAATAAGAACCAGCTGGCCAAGACCACGTTCCAGCCTCGTGGCTCCTTGCCGGAGCAGTGTGAGGTCTGAGAGACATTGTGGCAACATTCATTCATGCAGGATAATCACATTAACAAGGCGTGTCGGGGCTTTGTAGATAGATTTTTATAAAGACAAGCCAGGCCCAGAGTCAAAGCAAATCAGTGCAACGCTTCCCTCTAATCTCCTCCACCCCACCTCCAAAGCCACCTAATCTGACTGCAAGACAGCCTGTGACAAAAATTCAGAGATGAGATGAATCATTTAGCGACAGGAAAAGGATGCTGGAGAAAGCAAAGGGATGCACTATACCGGTTTGGTTCTTCTTATGCAGCACAGCATAGTTGGAGTTGTAGAATCCTCCCTTTCTCTTCTCTGCTTCTTTCTTCCCTTCTATCCTTCTCTTTCACTTCTTCTCTCTCACCCTCTCTCTCTCTCTCTCTCTCTCTCTCTCACGTCCTTGCTCACACACACACACACACACACTCTGGTTCTCGCTTCCTCTCTCTCTGGCTGTATCACCAGCTAAGCCTTCGAGTGCATTTATTCATCCCAGTTTGCACACACACGCTCTTCACTCAGTCTGCCTGGGTGCAACTCTTTTCTCTCTCTTACTCGCTGCCTGACAATGCCTACAAGCCCACCCTTTAAGCCCCTCCCTTTGCCTCTCTCCTCCTCCACCATCACTTTCAGATCAGCTCTCCTCTTTTCTACATCTTCTTACCCTCCTCTTCCTCCTCCCTTTCAGCTTGGCTCCTGCTAAAAGCTGCGGCCCCACCCAAAAAGGCAGCCCCGTTTGATAACTGAGTGGACACCTCCAGACAGGTTTCGCCTCTCCAGTTTCATTTTATTCGGCTTAATTCTACTTTGCAATACTTCCCATCTCTTTCACACACACATGTAGACAAGGAGATGTCTCTTTTTTTGGCTTCATAGTGGGGTATGGGTGGGGCACTTGCCTACCTCTCAGATTGAGACGGCTCTCAGTGTGTCAGATTATAAGCCTGGTGGGTGCAGAGCCAAAATCTTCAGGGAAATGCCAAAAGCATGTTTCCTGGCACAGCCAGGGATCAGCTCCCGCTGGCATAGATGTATGAAAGAGAGCAGTGATGAGTGCTGATGCATGCAGAGCCGCACACACATATACACATGTACGCTCTGTGCTTTTAGGACACGTCACCCACATCACCAAAACCACCCACCCTCCCTCACGCTTCAACCCCCCACTATACCCAGCGCTCTCTGTTCTCATGGAAACACACTAGAAGAGCAGAGGAGGAGAAGGAGAGAAGGAAGAAGAGGGAGGAATGATGGCAGGTGGAGGAAGCAAGACAGACAGACAGGCAATGCAAACTGCTTTTCTCTCTCGCTCTCTCTTTCTCCTCCTCTTGTGTCCACCTTTGCACACAGTCTGGTTTAATGAGCAGGCACTGGCCAACCACTTTCTCCCATTTGAACCACTAGCATAGAGCGAAGCTTACAGGCTCATGCAAACACCCACACTCTGCATTTGTATTTCATAACACACACAGACACACAAACACAGAGACACACAGTGGTGTCAGAACTGTCCCCACCCCCGCTCCGACACCAGCAGGCTTCAGCAGAAGATACAGAGACACAATGAGGATGAGAAAACAGGTGGATAAAAGGAGAAGAAAAACACCTGATGGTATTTCCAGTTTACTGAAAAGAAAATCATTAACTGGCACCACTGGGCCTTCCAACCTCTCGGTGGTCACTCCAGTCACGGATTCAAAATCTAATGCCATTACTTGGCAGAGCTACACCGTCTCTAGCAAGTCTGGTGAGACAAGTTTTTGCCTCTGCATAGTTATGCACATTCATGCTGAACAGCTGCCAGCTCAGGGTCCTTTTTTCAAAGCTGCTTTGTTACTTTGAAAAGTGCAATGTGGTTCTACCTGAATTAATTGGGAGAAATAAATTATAGGAAAAATCATATAAAGCTTTTTAAGATGAAAATGAAATTGAGGAAACATTTATTCCAATAGGTAGATAGAACACCAAAGATTAATTCATACAAGAAGCAATTGAAACATTTAGAAATAAAACAGATATTCGCCTGGTCATCATGACCCCAGCAGAAATTACAGCAAAATTAAACACAGATTACTGTCACCCAGGTTCTATCCCCTTTTGTTTCTCTCATTAGCTCCAAAACTCCAGCTAAACTTGACCAACACCAAAAGCACATCAGCAGAAGATGGAGTAACCAAAAGTGAAAGTTTACTCATGGATTTCATGCCATGTGTGAACCAGTTATCCCCCACAAACTGGAACACTTTATATATATATATTAGGGATGGAACGGTTTTTGAAAACCGTCCGAACCGTTCGGTTTGACTGTCTCGATTCGGTTTGCGTGTGTTTGGTTCGGTTCATGCGCTGCTCCTTTTTCTCATAGGTGAAGCGTTTACACTCCAGAGTAGAAGGTGGCGGTACTGCGACCAAAGCCAACCACCAGTAGTAAACAAGAAGAAGAAGAAGCGAAGCAGCGTAGACGGGTGTAGCAGAAAAAAATCAGTTGTTGTGGAGAGTTGTGTGGGTATGGCGAGTGGGAAAGAACAGGAGTTGGAAGACGCGCCAGCAGCACTTTATAGGTCTGCTGTATGGGACCACTTTGCATTTAGAGTGACCTACGATGACGGCGGAAAGAAAGTGGTGGATAAAAGTGCAACAGTGTGCAAGCATTGTGCAACACGTTTCGTTTATGCTAACAGCAACACGACCAACATGTCAGATAGGGTGACCATATTTTCATTTGGGAAAACCAGGACACCTTGGAGCGGGGGGGGGTGATTGAAAGAACAAATGTCTCATCATCGGGATTCCGTGATGAGAGGAAATGTTACTTGTTACTAGTTGTTTTAATGGTTATAGAGTCAGATATGTGGTGTTAATGTTTGGTTTATCTAAAGGTTTTTATCTGTTACTTTGTAAATGAGTTTGGCTGTAATTTAAATACAGATTCTAATAAATCTGCAGAGTGGGAACTATAAATCTGATAGTTTATTTTTTGTTGTTGAATATTAGAGATTTTGCAGATACATTTTGTAGATACATTGTTTAGATTTACTTATATATTTCTAACCCTTTTATAGAATAGAATAGAAAATCCCTTTATTGTCCCACAATGGGCAAATTTACAGCAGCAGAAAGATTATTGAAAATGGTCACACAAATGAGGACCTTAGAAAAATGTATAAGAATAACATAATAGGGAAGAGTTAAAATATAAAAAAAAAATTCTGTAAAGTGTTTCAACAATATAAAACTGGAGAATAAATAACCAATATGCAGCTATGGACATTTTTACAATAATGGATATTTGAAAATAGCAGCAACATCAGAGATGTGCAGAATGACAGCAGCAGCAGGTTATTTAACTGACTAAAATTTTTCTATCATTACATTTGATTTTATTTGTTCCTGCTCCCGGTGGTTGGAATCTTTATTCCACTCTGGATTCTTGTGAGTGTAGTCTTTGTTCACTTTAACTTTTTTTTAAAATAAATAAATAAACAAACAGTTTTGAAAACCTCTGTATTCATTCTTTTCCTGCTTTGTGTGTCAACTTTCACGGCTGCTAAGCAACAGAGCATACGGCGGTAAAACCCGCCGAAGGGAGGACCTGTTCGAATTTACAGCCAAAACTCTTCCGGCCTCCTTATTTTCAAGGACTTCGAAGGACCCAGTCTAGGTAGACCGCGTCCTTGGAGGATGCAGCCCAGGATTTCGAACAGAGCCTCTGATTAAGAACAGGGCTGCCCGCACTGACGCGGCTCAGGGATTACGTCACACGGAGCGTCGTGCGCAGTGAAATCAGGACATTTCCTCACTTTCTAAAAAAAACCCGGGAGGCCCGGGACAGGACGTGAAATACGGATATGTCCCGGGAAATACGGACGTTTGGTCACCCTATGTCAGGCTAACCCTGAAATCCCACATACTCCCTCAGCGCTCCGCTGCGCTCCAGACCACCTGCACATAGCAAAGCCTACAGCCCCCAGTGTGGCTCCCGTCCGCTCCGCTCTGAGTTCCTTGGAGATCGTAGAGGGCATGCGCCAGATGATTAAATTCAAAGCAGCAAAACATGCGGAAATGATCCATGGTTTCCGCGAATCATTAAAAATAATTACAATTCATTTATTTTTCGTGATTTTTTCATTAATTTCATTAAAAAAAAATGTCATTAATTTTTATAATTTAAAAAAATAATAATATTTTTCGGTGTAACAATAAACATATACCGAACCGAACCGAAAACCGTGACCACGAAACCGTGAACCGAACCGAACCATGGATTTTGTGAACCGTTCCACCCCTAATATATATGTATATATAAAAGTAAAGAATCAATGGGAGAGAGAGTATCCAATGCACAAATTATTGCACAAATGCAATAAATACATGTGACTAACCAAACATCAAAAAACAAAATCCATAAACATGCCATAACTATATGGCATACTATCTATGAATATACTCTAACAATGCCATAGAGCTATTAACCTTGTAACTGCAGCTCATTATGAAATATAACTGTGTATAAATAAACACCTGTGTGTACTTATGTATGTAAGATTTATAAGGAATTAGGAAGATATGCTCAATAGTAGGAGTGAGGGCCCCCAGACCCATCCCAAAGAGCCCAGGGCTGCAATCAAGCAACAGTGTTTGCATGGTACAATTCCTTGTATGTGCAAAACACAACTTTTAGATAAAGCTTTTTCTGATTTGAACTTAAAATGCATTTTGAGACCAAGTGAATTTCTCCATTGTGAGATCAATAAAGTCCTATTCTTTATTTAAAGTATAAACCTGATTTGTAAGAATATTTAAATAAAAGTCTTATGCTTTTCTACCAACAATGCCTTTGTTACTGCCAGGTTTCTGTAACTGTCAGGTTTGTGCAAAAATAAAACAAACAAAAAAATTATGAATGCAAACAATTATTTATGTCTCACTAAAATGTGCCTTCAGCAGCACATTTTAGTGTTTGTAGGTAAAATATTTACAGTATTTGCATCTCAACATCAAGAAGCAAATCACTTCAAATCAAGCTCCCATAATAAAGGTGCCGATACAAATCCCTTGAGGGAACACATAATCACCAGCTCACATTTAAAATGAAGAGGGTTGTTAAGCAGAGGAAAAACAAAAACTTTTCAAATGCCTAAGAGGCAGAAATCAGGCTGAGGCCGGGGCAGTAGTAGCTGTCGAAACCAAGTGAGAGTGTGTGGGTTGGCCTTTGAAAACAGTCCATCTGCCATTACAACAGCTCGGGCTGCAGTTGAGTGGAAACTTACTTAGCAGACAGTATAGCAGTTCCTTCCTCCTGAACAAATTGGTATGCAAATGTATGTACAATCAGTTGATTGTTCTGTTAAACCGTTGAATGTGCAACCTTTACTGGCCACAGAAATCAATAATGCCGCAAAGATTGGCCAGAGCAGTCAAGGTGTGTGCTTTGGCAATGCTTCACACCTGGCAAAAGGACTTCCAGTAGCAAGCTGGAATTCTTTATATTAGATCCACTTGGAGTCTTGGATTAAAGATAAATCTGTCAGATTAAAGGTGTAATATGTCAGTATTTT